CACTGGGCACAGTATCCACTGTGAGCCTGACACACCCGCTTTGAGACAACTAACTGCTATTCAATCTATAACAGTGAAAAAAGTTTTTTGGTTTTTAGATGCACGCTATTGTGACACCAGTGAGTGAGTGGTGGCACTGGGCACAGTATCCACTGTGAGCCTGACACAGATGCTGGCAGACAACTAACTGCTACTCAATCTATAACAGTGAAAAACGTTTTTTGGTTTTTAAATGCACGCTATTGTGACACCAGTGAGTGAGTGGTGGCACTGGGCACAGTATCCACTGTGAGCCTGACACAGACGCTGGCAGACAACTAACTGCTATTCAATCTATAACAGTGAAAAAAGTTTTTTGGTTTTAAATGCAAGCTATTGTGACACCAGTGAGTGAGTGGTGGCACTGGGCACAGTATCCACTGTGAGCCTGACACAGAAGCTGACAGACAACTAACTGGTATTCAATCTATTAAAGTGAAAAATGTTTTATTTTTTTTAAATGCAAGCTATTGTGACACCAGTGAGTGAGTGGTGGCACTGGGCACAGTATCCACTGTGAGCCTGACACAGAAGCTGGCAGGCAGGCAACTGCAATTACATCACACAGAAAAAAAGACTGATGTTCTAGCCCTAAAATGGGCTTTTTGGGGTGCTGTCCTTACAACAGAGATCAGATGAGTCCTTCAGGACTGTAGTGGACACTGTATACCCTAACCTAGCTATGCATTTCCCTATCTAATCAACAGAAGCTACACTTTCCCTCCTCTCACTAAGCATGCAGCTTGAGAATGAATGTAAAATGGATGCCTTCCAGTAGGTGGGAGGGTCTGCTAGGGAGGGTGTGCTGCTTATTGGCTGGAATGTGTCTGCTGACTGTGAGGTACAGGGTCAAAGTTTACTCAATGATGACGAATAGGGGCGGATCGAACCGCGCATATGTTCGCCCGCCGTGGCGAACGCGAACATGCTATGTTCGCCAGGAACTATTCGCCAGCGAACCGTTCCGTGCATCACTAATGTTTGTATTTGGAGTATGCTGATTCTGAAAATATAAATTGTGATGCATACTTTAAGTTATGAATAATGTGGAAAAACTGTATTTCTCTGCCTGTGATAATTACATTAACCCATTGTGTAAGGTAATTGTATCACAGGCAGAGGGGAGGATTTTGTGTGGGGGTGTCTGAGTGTATTGTATGTGTTTATTGGTTGTTTTACAAAACCATGTGGGTGGTACTAATGTGTATATAAGAACAATAAACCCACAGCTCTGCCTGCTCCTGCTTGAACCTCAAAACGGAGCCTTGTCTCGTTCTTGGGGGGGGGGGGAAATTTATCGTATGCTGTTCCAGTTCGACTGATAGGAGTGTAAACCTATTCATATGGTTTTTCCTATTTGGCTGTTTACAGTATTCGTATGGTTCTGGTTCGGCTGTTTACGACATTCATATGGTTTCCTGTTCAGCAGATTGGTGTCTTTGGTAGCTGCCTGTGTATCTGGAAGGGGAATATCCTCTAAACCGCGTTGTAACGGACCGTTTTGCACAAAAAGGGAAAAAACCGTTTAGGCGATCGGCCCCCTTTCCAGAGATGCAGGCACAGCTACTGCAGAACATCAAACTCCCAAACTGGATACAAAATAGCACTCCAACTCCCGAACTGGAACCTCCCAAATAGCTGCTAGCAGACGAACAGGAAAAGCAGACAATCAGCTTACACTCCTGGCAATCAGTCTCTAACAGCATACAGTGAATCCCCCCAAGAACGAGACAAGGCTCCGTGTTGAGGGTCAAGCAGTGGTCTGAGGTGCTGGCACACCCAGCCTGGTTTTTATTACAGTGTTTCAAATACAGGACCACCCACAGGGAGGGATAAAACAACCAATCATATCACAGTTACATCCCACATATTCCCTCCCCTTATCTAGAGAGGAAACTCAATTATACAAACAGTTAAAACATACTTTCTACCCAACTTTCATAACTCCAAAACCATACATCACATTCACATAAAATTACATAT